GACCAGCGACTCCAGCACCTCCAGTAGAAACAGTACCAGCACCACTCCTAGCTCCAGGGACGGCAGCAGAAGTACCTCCAGCAGTAGAGCCCCGGGCTCCAGCAGCGCGACCCTGACGGCGACCGTACCAGTCGTGCAGCTGCTGCAAGGTGAGAGGCACACGTGGACGAAGGCGGCTACTCCAAGGAGACCGCGCAACAGCAGACTCTGAACCCTCAGCGCCAGCACCCTCAGCAGCTCCAGCGCCACCAGCACCAGAACCTCCAGCAGCTCCAGAACCTCCAGCGCTCGCACCCTCAGCAGCCCCAGAACCACCAGCTCCAGCACCTCCAGACCCCTCACACGCAGGCTCAGCACCTCCAGGCTCTACACCCTCAAGCTCCGCACCCCCAGGCTCCGCACCCCCAGGCCCAGCACCCCCAGACTCAGCACCCCCAGAAGTAGCACCCCGAGCAGGACCACCCCCAGCAGGACCTGAGTCACCAGTGACCTCAACCGGCGCAGGGAAGGGAGGAGGGTCTACCTGAGACACACCTGAGGGAGCAGGACCTGGAGCGGGGAGAGGGTCGACCTGGGGAGCACCTGGAGCGAGGAAGAGCGGCGGGGGAGGGAGAGGGGCAGTGCGGTAGGGGAAGAGACGGTAAAAGGGAACCGACTCGTCGAACGTGACGTCCTGAGACGCAAAGACACGACGCGAGGTGGGGTGGTAAAACTGCCAACCAGGCGCGTCAGGGACAAAGCCAAGGAAGACACAGGGAATAGCGCGGGCGGAGAGCTTGTCCGCAGTGGTATCGCGGACAAAGGCACGAGCACCCCAGACCCGGAAACGCGACGCATCGCCAACCTTCCCCGTCCACAGCAGTGTGGGCGAGGTCTCCGGCAAGGAGACACGGGGCCAGAGGTTGAGCTGATGCGCGGCGTACCGGACCGCAAACGGCCACAGAAAATGAGGGGCAGCCGCATGGATCATGGAGGTACGAGCGACCTCCATGACTAAGCCAATGCGGCGCTCAGCAACCCCATTCTGCTGCGGAGAGGCCGGAAGCGTGAACGTCTGGCGGACGCCGTGCTCCGCACAGTAGGCCGCCAAGAGGTCGGAGGTGAACTCACCACCTTTGTCAGAGTGCAGACGCAGGACAGGAAAGTCCCTCTCGAACCGCTCGCAGAGCTGGAGACGAACAGCGCGGATCCAAGGGATCAAAACATCAGGGACCTGACCCTTGCTGCGCAAGGGGAAGACCGTGGTGTAACGCGTGAAGTCGTCGACGACCAGCAGGAAGTACCGCTCGTGGCCCTGTCCACGGACGCGGGCTGGGCCCCACACGTCCAGGTGGAGAGTCTGCAGGGGAGCCTCTGTGGGAGGGAACGAGGAGGAGTGAGGAGCGGCGCGCTGCCGCCCCTCGACGCAGGGAATGCAAGGAGGCGCAGGCGAGGGAGGGAGGGCAGGCAGAGTCCTGGGGAGACCAGAAACCAGAGAGCGAGAGTGCATGCCACGAAGGCGCTGCACCGAGGGGTGACCAAGGCGGTGGTGCCACAGGAGGGTCTGGTGCGACAAAGCACGACACTCGCAGGGGGCCGACAGCTGACCTGACGCAGACGCAGACGCAGCTACCTGAGGGGCCGCAGTGGTCAGTGTGTACAGACTCGAGCCAGGCGCACGGGTAAACGTGGCCAGGTGTCGGCCCGTCCGAGCACACGTACAGTGAGTCACCCGCTGACCCGCAGGAGTGAACTGGTCAACTCCCCCATCCTGGAGGTCAGCTCCACTCACCAAGTTCGTAGAGAACGAGGGGAGGTAGAGACCTGACAGCACGCCAGATGGGACGGCCGGACACGGCAAAACCGTGGAGTAGCGGGCAACGACAGGACCCCCAGAGGGGTCCGCCAGGGAGACTGCAACCGGCCGACTAAGCGGCGTGAGTGTGGTGCAGTCGCGAAAGAAGGAGCGGGAAGCTCCTGAGTCAAGGGTGAAGGTGTGCAAGGCCGCAGCAGGCGCAGTACCAGAGAGAGCAGACTCACAGGCACCTGGGGCGGCAGCCTCACCAGCACCTAGAGCAGAAGACGCAGTAGCACCGAGAGCAGCAGCCTCACCAGCACCTGGAGCAGGCGACGCACGAGCACCTAGAGCAGCAGCCTCACCAGCACCGAGAGCAGCAGGCTCTATACCTGGGTCAGGCGGTACGCACAGGTAACAGGCTCGGTCAGCACTAGTAGGCAATGCATACATAGCAGTGAGAATAGCATCATAGTCAAGAGCAAAGATATCTATCCTCTGGCTAAGCAGCTCCAGCCAGGTGGGGAGCTCAGCCTCGTCACCAAACTCGGTACGCCAGGCGTCGCTCAGGCGGGCGAAGCAGCGGGACTGTGTGTGACCAGGCGTCCCGCAGGTCTGACCAGCTCGATCACCTGTGCGAATGACGTACCGGCAGCGCACTGGACTGAAAGACCCTCTACTCTGAGCGTACCACTCCTCGAGCTGCCGAGACGTAAGTGTCTCGCGTGGACGCCGCTGCAGCTGCAGCTGGCCGCTGCTAGAGGCCCCCAACTGACCAGCTCCAGGGCGACAGCTACGACGGCTACCGCGACAGCCCCAACTAGTATACCACTCACTAAGCTGCTGGGGCGTGAGAGACTCGCGTGAGTGTCGCTGGAGCTGCATCTGGTCCCTTGCTAATAGCTAGTAGCAGCAGCAGCTCGGGCAGGGCAGGCGCGGCAGGCCGGCAGACAGGCAGGCAGGCCGGCAGGCAGGCAGGCAGGCAGGCAGACAGGTAGGCAGGCAGGCTGACAGGCAGACAGGCCGGCAGGCAGGCTGACAGGCAGGCAGGCAGGCAGGCAGGCAGGCAGGCAGGCAGGCAGGCCAGCAGGCAGGCAGGCAAGCCGACAGGCAGACAGGCCGGCAGGCAGGCAGGCAGGCAGGCAGGCAGGTAGGCAGGCAGGCAGGCAGACAGGCAGGCAGGCAGGCAGGCAAAAAGACAGGCAGGCAGGCCGAAAGGCAGGCAGGCAGGCAGGCAGGCAGGTGCTCACCAAAGGCTGGAAGGGCAGGTGCTCGCCGGGCGAGCAGGGCCGAGTAGGCGCACGACCGCAGCTGCGATGGGGCCGGAACAGCGACAGTAGAGTAGGGCCGCAGCAACTGCAGGGTGGGGGGCCGCTTCAGCGGCAGTCGCAGAGTGGGGGCCGCATCAGCGGCAGGTCGGAGCCTCGGCAGCAGCAGCGAGGGGCCGCAGCAGCGGAAGGTCGGGGCCGATGCAGCTGCAGGCTATGCAGGGCAGCGCGCGGGGCTGCTGTGGGCCGAGCGCGGGCTGCGGGAGGCAGAAACAGGCCGCGCGCAGCAGCAGCTGGCCGCGCGCGGCTCGGCAGGGACTGCGCGCAACAGCAGCAGGCCGCGCGCGGCTCGGCAGGGGCTGCGCGCGGCTCGGGGGGGGGTCGCGCGCGGCAGCAGCGGGCTGCGCGCGGCTCGGCGGGGCCGCGCGCAGCAGAAAACGGGCTGCGCGCGGCTCGGCGGGGCCGCGCGCAGCAGAAAACGGGCTGCGCGCGGCTCGACGGGGCTGCGCGCAGCAGAAAACGGGCTGCGCGTGGCTCGACGGGGCTGCGCGCGGCTCGACGGGCCTGCGCGCGGCTCGGCGGGGGCTGCGTGCGGCAAATCCGGGCTGCGCGCGGCTCGACGGGGCTGCACGCGGTTCGACGGGGCTGCACGCGGCTCGCTGGGGGCTGTGCGCTGCGCTGACGGCGTGTGAGGGGCAGCAGAGCGGCGCGAGCAGCGAGGGCGACGCTTGAGGCAGCAGCGGGCAGCGTGCGTTACTTAGGTCTGCGCGGTAGCAGCAGCAGACAACACAGTAGGCAGCAGGCAGTAGGCTACAGGCAGACGGCGCGCGCAGCGCAGCACGTCACAGGCAGAGGCACAGGCGTGGGGTAGCGGTAGGTGGGCCCGAAAAAAAAAACGGTCCTACGGACCTACTGCTCTGAAACCATGTCAGAATCTAGAGACAAGAATGAATGCATTGATCAAGAGTTGGGTACATAAGCTAACCCTAACATTGGGTTGTACCCCATATGGGCTACCCCACTAGCAGCCTACACAAACACAATATGCATTGTTTGACATAGTTACCCTTCTCTTCAAAGAGCATGTTTTTTTTTACCCTGATACGGTAGGTTTTTAGGTTAGCCTGACGGAATCAGGGTATGGTGTGCACTACCCTTTTACCGAAACTATTCTAACACGAATCAGACCACAGTCCGCGTGCTGACGAAACGTACAACACCCCCACAAACACAAGTTGTCGCTTGTGATCACGCGCATTTAAACTTGCTTCGTTGTCGGCAACACTCCATAAACTCTGAATGTGCTACTTTTTTATGTCAATAAATATAACTTAGCTCTCAAAGCAGAAACAGAAACAGGCTTTGCCCAAAACTACCCTGCTCAAATCAGGCTAGCAGCTGATTTACCCTGCTGCCAACAGGGTACGGAAAATTTTAAAAATTTACCCTAGGGGTCTGGTTAAGGAGGGCCTGGAACCCTGATTTGTAAGGGTAGGCCTAAACCAATTTTGGGCCCTGGGTGTGAGCTTGCCAGGGAACAGATTAAGGAAGGGGGTTGTTGCTTTTGCGAGGGAAGTGGCATAGCGTGCGGCGGCCATGATAGAGGGGTCAGCTGTGTGGAGGAATGTGAGATGAAGGCGATTTGAGGGAGGCACTTTGGAAGGGCGTGGTTGAGGCACTTGTTAGAGCGCTGCTGTGGTTTCAGCCTGCGTTTCTTTCTCCTCTTTTTTAGCAGTTGTTGTTGCTGAAGCTAACTGATAGGCGGGGGTTTACGCATTGTAGGATCAGTGGAGGAGAGGAAGAGGAAGAGCAAAAAAGTTCTCTAGTAAGCCTAATAACAACTCAGTGGTCCTTTAGAGAGCACCTAAGTCAGAGGTTTCGTCTAGAACTTTCTGCGTGCTACAAAGTGGGGTAGAATGAGGCAGTGACTGTAGCTACAAGAACATCTTTATCCGCAGCTACTTTTGAGCTTCTCTCGAGGCCTCCAGTAGTCCCGCCTCCTCGTCCGTTTGTTGTGCCTGCTTCTTGGCTGCTTCCTTGGCGTTCATCTCCTGTAAAAACGAGAGCAACGGGGGAAACAGGTGGAGGAACAGAAAAAGATGAGGGCCAGGCAGGCAACAAACACAAAACCATTCTGTAGGAAAATGTAGACGGGAAAGCGAAAGCAAGAGACAAGGATATGGCAGGGGTATTTATCAAAAGGGACGTACCTGCATCTTGACGTGGTTGTACCAGCACACGCCCGCGAACGCCAGCAGGTAGCCGAGCAGGTTGAAGGTGGTGATTTTATCGGCAATCACGGACCAGGAGAAGGCAATGAGCAGCCAGTCCTTGATGATCCCCGCCACGTTCATCGTCAGCGCAGACGTCTTGCCGATCAGCAGGAACACTGAGAGGTTCAGCGCGAATGCGCACAAGCAGTTCACGCCGAACACGAGCACGCTCGGGTGTGCGCCGGCAGCCATGACCGGGACGAGCTTGGGGAATTCGACGAGGAACCAGGGCACGGAGAGGAAGAGCAGGCAGACGGGCGAGATGTAGTAGAGGCTCGTGATGGGGTTGAGCGAGATGCCCTTGGAGGTGAGCAGGATCTGGATGAGCACCAGACGCGTCGCCTCGAACACCACGGCTGTCAGCTGCAGCAGCACGCCCGTGGCGTTAAAATTGGCCTCGCTCCACGCGCTGATGGCGACGCCGAACGAGATGAGCATCATGTTGGCGAAGGTGGCGCCGCGGAAGGCGTCTTTACGGAAGGCGACGCCGAGGAGGTAGACGGCGACGGGCATGAGCGCCTTGAGCATTTGGATGAAGGACACGGAGAGGTAGATGTAGGCGGAGTTGGAGAACCAGAGGCTGAGCGCGTAGAGCGCGCCGATGGGCACGACGCACGTGAAGTAGGTGTCGGGCTTGAGCCCGCCGGGCAGCGGCTGCACGACGCGGAAGACGTTGACGAGCAGGAAGGCGAGCGACGAGCAGAAGGCCATGTGGATCATCGTCAGACTGCGAACAGCGAGGAATGGCAGGTGACGGGGGGGTTTAGAAGCCAGAGGCGTTGAGGATGAGAACAAGGGACTGGGTAGCGAATGGGGTGTCAAGGTCACGAGACGGAAAGCAGGGAAAGATAGGGCTGTTACAGAAGAAGCCACGGGAAGCACGAACGCGCTAAGTTCGCTACACCCGACCCTGGTTTTTTACAACCTACTCACTCTCTTGCAGTTGCAATTCGCGCTGCCCAACGTCAAAGCAAGTTCTAGCTAAGAGCCGCGGCTTTTCACGGATGCGCAAGCAACGAGCAGTACCGCCCAACGAGTTCTTGTGCCGCCAATTGTCTCATACTCTCTGTATTCGTTCTACGACACAGGTAGTAACTTCGTGTAAGGATTCCAGTTTCTCACCTGATGGGGAACGGCCAATTCAGCAGTCGCCGGTCGAGGATGTACTTGTTGAAGATGATAACGGAGAAGCTTAGAACGATCCATAGCACCACACTGCCTCCCATGACCAACTTCTTCGCCAGCAAGCTCTGTTGCGCCGGCTGGGTGCTGCTCGGCGAGGTCGACATGGTGACGGCAGTGTAGCAGTTGGAGCAAGAGAAAATGCGGGAGCTGCAGCAACTGACGGAGGCTCGAGTGAAGCTGAACTGGGGCGGGAGGCGGTTAAAGATCGAGTTTAAGGGTGAACGGATCTATGCGTCGGAGAGATGGCTGGCGTTTTGAACAAGGTGATTGTCGCTGCAAACTAGTCGGGTAGTTATGAGGACTAGTGTAAAAGGGTGTTATAGAAGTGGCGCTTGTTGACGGTTCGGTGCAAGGGGTGAGACGAAGAGCGACTGAATGAATCCCCTGCTGCACTACAATATTTTAGTGCAGATGGGATTGGGAGTGGCGGGGTGGAAAGGAGAAGATGGGGAGGAGAGCAGGAGGCGCTAGGAGGGGGAAATGATGGGAGATGAGATGAAGAACCTCGCGGTTGAGTCGGCCCGTGTCGCACGCTCACAACCGTACGTCAATCACCGATGAATCAGCCAGGTCAGGCTAAATGCTTCGGAGGGTAACCAAGGAAGAGGTTTGGAGTCTGGAAACCTAAATCGTTGGGCTACTTCGGCCTGGTTTTTTAGATACAGACCGCACACCTAGCCTCAATTACCGTACTCACCTTTCGCCCAAGCACGCGGTTTTCTGCTGGGGGTTCTCCAAGCGAAACAAAGACATTTGACACGCGAATCCCGAGCCTACAGTTCATGGCATTTTGATTGACAGCTTCGTAAACCGACAAGCCCGGTGCGGTTACGTCCAAGAGCCGCATAGCGATAGGCCGGTGCGACAGGCCTGCCGATTTCCGTTCTGCCAGTCAGGCTCGGGGAGGGGGGAATAATTCGCGCCTCGGCCCTCGTCGACCGTTTGGCGCATGGGTGCGACAAACAGCTGTATTTTGGCGGGAGTTGAATTGTGGAGTTACGCAATTTTCTACAACCGAATTTTACACGATCTCTAACGTGGAAGCTTGTGCTTTATGACACTCCCCCCTCAAAACAATCTTAGTTAATAACGTGCAAAACGTTCTGGGAAGCTGGCAGGCACATAACGTGCTAAAACCTTGGTTGATGACATTAAGCCCTTACAGAATGTCTGTTATGGTATGTACGACCATGAATTTTATCCACGTCTGCCGTCATCCAAAGACCCACGGTCAACACAGAATTACAAGCAGGAAACCAACATGTTGGTCACCAATGCGGGACGCATAGCATATCACTATCTGATACTAAGTTGCTTTGGGAGGAGACACTGAATGCACTAGCGCCCCAACTCTTTCCGCAAAAGCAGGTGAAGAGATGCGCTTCCCCGGGACATGGAAGGGATTTGAGGTGGCATCAACATATGCAGAATGAAGCCTCTTGAAGAACTGATTAACATGGGATGTGCAATGGACAGATTTGGGGAAGGGTTGGGATGCCAAGGATTGGGGATCAATGGAATAATCTGGGAGTCAGCAGTACGCATCGGTGACAGATGGAAAGTGCACTAACATGGTTAGCTTGAACTCATGCTAGCCAAAAAGGCTTCCTTACATTTCTTATGTCGCTTTCCCTCAGGTCAAGACCATCAACAACTATTATGAACTTAATCTGCGTGTTGCTCACATAGCCGTACCTGAGGGACAGGGTGGATGGAGAGGTGAAAGTTAAAAGAATTTTCACAAATTACAAGTAGAGAACGATGAGATTATAAGGATGGAGGGACACAAAAGAAGAACATCAGAAATTGAAACATCAATGAACTGAACGGTCGACAGCCATGTGGTAGTGGAGAGTGCAGGACATCACATGACATGCCTGATCAGTCAGTGCTGCTTCTCGCTTACACTCTATAGTCTTCTGTCGGATAGAGCAAGCCTAGATATGGCTCATTGGCACCTCCTCTGCGGGGTGTCGACACTGGAAAGGCAAGCGGGAGCGAGGAGATGGATAGAAGGGTAAAACGGTGGGAGGTTTGCCGGGCGGCAGGGGAGGACGAAAAGTGGACTTCAAAGCACCTCAGAAGAATGTGTTTCTACTAACCTCGTTTTCCCCACTCTTTGATCTATCCTGTGCACCATCTTAAAACAAAACATAAATTGCACATCCCTCTCATGAGCCCATGATTCCAACCAAGGCACCCTTCTCATCAAGCCCCGTTTTGCCCCTGCGGTGCACCGGGCGTACCGCGCTCATCGATGACGTCCAGCGAGCAGTGCACTATGAAGTGGAACTTGAGCGGATCGTCCGCCTCCAAAAAGCTCTGCAGGTACAGCGGGTTGTTCTGCGGCAGTGGAGGGGAGGGGGTGGGGGGAAGACGATGGAAGATGTGAGTGGCGAGGGGGATAACGAGGTAGGTGGAACAGAAAGGAAGAGCGACCAAAAGAGAAAGCGAGAGGGAGGGGAGAGGGGGGGAGGGAGGGGGAGAGAGAGAGAGAGAGAGAGAGAGAGAGAGAGAGAGAGAGAGAGAGAGAGAGAGAGAGAGAGAGAGAGAGAGAGAGAGAGAGAGAGAGAGAGAGAGAGAGAGAGAGAGAGAGAGAGAGAGAGAGGGGGGGGGGGGGAGGGGGGGAGAGAGAGGCAAGCGAGAGGAACAGGGAGGAGGTTCTGGGGGTTGAAGGAAAAGCAGAGAGAGATTGAAGCGAGGGTAATAAGCAAAAAAATGATCAGAAAGGAATGAGGACAAGGGGACCGAAAGAGGCAATATGTGGTGCCATGGTTGCTCATGGTTGCTCATGGGTGCGCATCGTACCGCCTGGCCCACGATGCCCACGCACACTATCATCGCCTCCACGCCCTCTGCTCCCACGACAGAATGTCAGGCCAGTAACCCTAGCGACAGACGTAGCCTCGCGACAGCTGAGACCACGGCCAGCGACTACGCGCAAATGTGGTAGCTATTGCAGTCGCAGTGCGAGGCGAGAAACGGACGGCACTGCTGATTAGCCAGAATCGGAAACAACTCAGGAACACGCAGTGTGTGGTGTTCAGCTCAGTACAAGCAGCTTTTCACATTCGGACTGGCAAGATATGTAGCGAAAGCGGAGTGGAGTTGATGAAAGGTGGCGACAACCGACTAGTCCTCCGGATTTGCCACCGATGCCCAACACGAAGGAGGAATTGAACAGCGTATCGAATCGCAAGGGGGCCCTGGATACGCGCGAACAACCGGAGCAATACACCTCTATATTTCTTTTCTCACACGCTCATTCAAGCAGTTTCGAACCAAGCAACGATTACAGTCAACGAGGTGCTCCCTGCTTGCTGTGTGAAGCGACTCGAGTCAGCTACTCGATACACAGCGACCAAGAGCTTCTTTGCGAGCACTGAACAAATCTGCTTTGGTGGCGCGGATCGCCTAGATTCTAGATTAGTTGGGTAGCCCTACAGCCTGTGGCCTCTGCAGGCGTGAAGCGCGGAGTGATTGCCGCGACACAAGCAGAGAAGTGTAATGAATTAGGGCGAGCCAACAGCCGCCGCATTGAGTTCCCCAGTACCAACGAAACTTGACGTTCCGTTAGATACTAAAAGCTTATGCACAGGTTGTACACGATTAAACTAGAATTACGGCTCACGTATTGTGCTTCATGATAGAATCACAGGAAGCCCATGCAGTCAACAGACCCAAATAATGTTATGTCAAGAAAAGATTTACCGTAGGCCTCTGATCTGTTACGGTGTAAGCAATAATGTTAACCTATAGTACTGTCTATACGATATGTGAACTTGATGGGGCCCTATTATTGCCGTCTACATATATATCTAGCACCCGTTCTATCTCATCGTCCAGAGAACTTCCCACACTCGTTGCCTGTCTCATTTCGTCGTCAACCTGGTCAAATGCCTTGTTGCTTCCCACGCCCACTACCAACTCCCGTGTTGCCTCCAATTCCTGAACAATGTGCGCCATTGTCGGACGCGAGGCAGTGGCCTTGGCTGAGGGCAAGCTGAACCACGTGCATCACCACCTCATGTGGCGCCTCCATGGCAGGGTCTCCGATGCACTCCATCTTGTTCTCTGTCACTCGTGTTTGCACCTGGCAAGTGGGTTGGAGAAAGGGTTCTGCTGACCTTTAATCTGGCGGTGGTTTGCGAGGGATGGGGTGGTATGGTATGTTCCATGTTTGTCTAGCGATGCCAAGAAAAGAAAGAAAAAAGCGATGAGAACGAGACTGGGAAGCGTAGCGCACCCGCAAACTGAGAAGATACCAAGGCGATTAAGACTCTGAGAAGAAAATGAGAGAAGGGGGCGGCAAGGCTTACCCAGGAAAGAATGTGTTGCTCGTGCTTGCCTTCCATGAATGTTGCTTCTCGCCCACTCATGACTACAAGAGTCAGAATTCCAAAGCTGCCAAGAATGGGATGGATGGGGGGATGGTAGAGAAGAAATGTGATTATGCAGGTGACATGAACATTCCCAGCACTCAGAATGCGAACAGACAGAACAGGCTCGAGAACATGAAAGATTGAAAAAAAACCCAAACGAATTGAGGTTGAGACCCATGTACTCTATATTGAACACCTTTATCAGCTCGACAAAGAAAGGGGCCTCACACCTGTACACGTCAGCAGCGGTGGTTGCCTTTTTGGTGTTTGCGTATGCAGGGTCGACGTAGCCTGGAGTTCCCAAGACTCGAGTTGACTGTACGGACTGCTCCCCCTCGCCCAATTTCACCAGCCCAAAGTCGGACACGTTGGCCTGTGATGAAAGAGAGAGAGAAAGCCGCGCACACAGATGAGCAATGGCTGATCCGAAGCAACTGATGCTTGAGTACCGGCACATTGGCTTCGTACTCACCACCACCTGAACATGCCTGCATGTTGGGTTCTTAAAAAGCAGGGACTGCCGTGGGGAAGGAATGCACCTGCATGTCCGCATCGAGCAGGATATTGCCGGGCTTGATGTCGCGATGCATGATGCCGAAGCTGTGCAGATACTCCAACCCGCGCGCTGCTCCGATCAAAATGTCCAGGCGCTGCTGCAGGGTCAGTGGGGCCACAGCATCTGGGGCCCAGCCAGGGGGGTTGAACGTGGCATAGGGAGAGAGGAAGAGGACGGAGGGGAAGGAAGAACACGTTTCAGGCGGATGATCATGCTTGATTGTGATCATGCAGGCGGAATGATGACAGTGACCATGGAATCACTGTTGAACTTCTTCCAAAGTGAAGGCAAAGAGGGAGGCGGGCATGGAAAGCGGGAGAGCAATTGGCATGGACACAAGGAGGAGGAACGAACAAACAAGAGTGGTATGGTGCGGTGTGGTGTGGTGTGGTGTGGTGTGGTGCGCACCTTGGCCCATCCACTTGTGCAGGTCCCCATGGGGCATGAGCTCGTAGATGAGCACCTGCTCTATCTTCGACCGCACATTGCCGCCCATGGCAAAGCCCAGCAGCCGCACCAGGTGCGGATGGTTCTTCGAGGACATCTGTAACACCTGCCGTGGGTGGGCGGTGGTGTGGTGTGGTGCTGTGTGGTGAGCATGGGCAACGGAATCTTTGCAGCGGAAAAGAAAACAGCTGGCTAGGACACCGGTGGAGTGGTGGGTGGTGGTACAAGAGATTCTGGACTGGATTGTGTGTGGTGGTTGGATGGGTGGAGTGGTGTGCGTGCATGTACGTGCACACATGCACATGCACGCACGTATGCATGCACACCCACCCCGCATTTCCCACACGTACCCTACACACACCTCCTTCTGAAAGTCATTGGTGAGCACTTTGGCGCGCTTGACAGCCCAGGGCGTGCACCCATCGAGGGGGCTCACTCCGCGGTACACGTCGCCGTATCCCCCTGAACCCAGCAGATTGTCCTGTGACCAGTTGTTGGTGGCCTTGAGCACCAGCTTCAGCGGATACTCTCTGCACAGCCCTGCTGACTCCGCCCATGCGCCCACCCCTGAGAGGTTGATTGGGAAGAGGGTGTGAGGAAGGGTGGAGATTGGAGTTGACTCAGAGCATACCTGGGCGGGCTGATGGGCATCATACAGCAATGAGGAGCTTGACTCTCAGCTTCAATAGCCACCATGACTTACCGACTCGTGACGACTTGCCGAATGACCACCGCTGCGTTGGGTACATGGTGTGGGTAAAGGTGTGGGTAAAGCTGCTGCTGTCGCTGCTGCTGCTGAAGAATCTTCTGTAGAGCCACAGAGCAAGGAGGCACAGCAGCGCGAATGCGAGCAGTGCACCGACAATGATGACAGCCACGAGCCACGGAGGGAGCTCGCGAGAGCAAGTGCCAGTGTCGGCATTGCACACCATGAAATTCCCCGAGCACACAACGCCTGCGCAATGGTCCACCGGCGGTGGGGGAGGAGCTGTGGAGAGGGAGGGGGCACGGGGATGGAGAGATGTGAGGCGGAGCGGCGTTGGTTGGCAGGGAGGAGGGAGGGAGTGTGCAGAGGAGTGCAGGCGAGGCAGGCGGTATGGGGCTTCGCATGGGGACTCAAAGCTGGATGTGATGTGATGCAGGGGAAGCAGAGGCAGGACGCAGATGGAAAGCGGAAGAAGGGGTGTGTGTGAGAGGCACCTTCTGGGGAGCAAGTGGCACAGAAGCCGGTGCAGTGGAGGCAGAAGGACGTGGTGTTGGTCTGCAGCACCACACACCACGTGCTGTTGTCGGGACATGCCAGGTACTCAGGGACCTTGCTGTGGTGACACGCCGTGGGGAAGGACAAGGATTGGTGCAGAGGATGGTGGAAGAGAGATGCGTCTTGACGGGTGGTGGAGCGTGAGTGAAGCAGCACGTGCTGTATGCAAGGGGCGGGGTTGGTTAAGGGGTGGTGGATGGGCACGTGGAGTGGAGTTGCATGTGCATACGCAAGACTTCGCTTTCACAGACAAGCTGACAGGCTTGCGAGAGAGGGAACAGCCGAGTGCAAGCAAGCAGGCACAGACATTGGGCAGGGGTGTTGTTGACAACAGGAAAAAAAACAGTGCGCATGGAAGAGGGGTGGGGGGAGGAGGCTCACAAGTCTTTGAGTGCATCGAGCCCTCCCAGGCTAGCTGGTATGGTGCCACTCAGCTGGTTACCTTGCAGCGTGCTGCAGGCGCACAGGAGAGCACGGGCAGAGGAGAGAGGTGGCAGGGCGTGGACAGAGGAGAGACACACCAATGGGTCATGCATCCGGCCGAGTATCACACCACACCACACCACACCACACCGCACCAGACCAAACCACACCACACCACACCACACCACACCACATGACACCTTCCAAGCGCTCCCAACACCTCTCCTCCCCTTCCCCCTCCCCTCCCCTTTCCTCCCTCTCTCGGGCACCATAAAGGCCCTGTTAATTACAGACAGTTCCTTCCCTCCCCCAGCACGCCATGTAGCACACACATGCAATATGCCATATAATATACCATGCAATATGCCATGCAATATGCCATGCAATATGCCATGCAATATGCCATGCAATATGCCATGCAATATGCCATGCAATATGCCATGCAATATGCCATGCAATATGCCATGCAATATGCCATGCAATATGCCATGCAATATGCCATGCAATATGCCATGCAATATGCCATGCAATATGCCATGCAATATGCCATGCAATATGCCATGCAATATGCCATGCAATATGCCATGCAATATGCCATGCAATATGCAATATGCAGGCTCACAGGTCCTTGAGCGCACGCAAGTCCCCCAGGAACGTTGGAATGGTTCCAGTCAGCTCATTCGTATGCAACCTCCTGCCAGTGCCGCATACATGCCGTCATGCCATAAAGGAAGGATCAGCGGAGGAGGTGAGCGAGTGGGGACCACGTGCTGTGACGTGGCGGGAGTGGTGTGCAAAGGAAGTGGGGAGCCTGCACCTGAACGGGCAACTATAAGGCAGGGGGAGTCACTTCACACGCTGATGGCAACACACAGATGGGAAATGAAGGGAATGCAAGGACGTCACACACACACAGATGAGAAGCCTGTATAAAAACGTGGTCAGGAATGCGACTCACAGCGTGGTGAGGCTACGTAGATTAGCAAGCCCATCTGGAAGAGTTCCGGTAAGATTGTTGTTGTTGAGGCTTCTGGAAGCCGTGGGTTGGCAGTCGTGGAATTAGAAGGAAGGACCACAGGAAAGTTGTCATTACAATGCTAGCATCAAACAGTTGGATTGGAAAGGGATGGGAGAACTGGGGGAAGGGGAGGGGCGGGTTTCACTTCACAGGCAGTCAGAGCATGCACGAGCCGCACACAGAAGAATATATTTGTTAGCGTGTTTGCTGATGTGAGCACGGCACGGCACGGGGCGGCGGGGGGTGGTGGAAGAGAGAGACGGGAATAGGGGCGAGGGAGGGAGGTGAGGGAAAGGTGTGTGAAGATGGGAAATCGGAAGCAAGGGCGTACAGGTTCTGGAGGCCTTTCAATTTGGAGAGCCAGTCCGGCATGGTGCCTGTGAGGTGGTTGTACTGCAGGTTCCTGCCACGTATGGGAGGTGCAAGTGGTGCGGTGCGGGTGGTGCGGTGCGGGTGGTGGTGCCATGCACGCATGTGCAGTGCAGTGGAATTAAAATGGGAGCTCATGAATGAGCAAGTGGAAGATAAGGTGGAACATGTGCGGATGCGGGTGTGGATGTGGATGTGGATATTTCCATGCACGGATGCATGTGGGCAGGTGGAAACATGAGGCCAGAAGACGCATGCTCCTCTTTCCATGCGCAGCTGAATTCGCATGGAAACCAAAAGCATGACCATAAACACGACCGTCACCATCACCACCACTACCACCACCACCATCATTGTCAGCAGCAGCAGCAACAGAGCAGAGGCAAAGGAAGGCGAAAGATGAAAATTGGGATGCGTGCGTGCGTGGGCATGCGGCGAGTGCGGTGTGACATAGAGGTGTTCCATGGTTGGGGCGAGCTCTGGCAGTGGGCTCGTGATCCGGTTGAAGTCCATCTGCCTGCCCGCATCGCATCATGCAGCCACCCAGGGCGGGCGGGATGGTGGGGAGGGCGGGACGGAGGGAGGGAGGGAGGGAGGGAGGGAGGCCGGGAAGGAGAGAGCGAGGGAGGAAGGGAAGGAGAGAGGGAAGGAGGGTGATATAAGGGGGATGGGGGTGAGGAGAAGGGGCGACACATTTCAGGCGAGAGAGCGGACGGTTTTAAGTTTGTGCAGGAACAGAGAACATTGTTCTGTTGGCGCGAGCGAGTGTGTAATGCAACGGTCTCAGGGCCCAGGGTGGCACGCACAGTATGCTGAGGCTGTCGAGATTGGTGAGCGATGCTGGCAGCGGTCCTGTGAGGTTGTTGTTGTACAATGCCCTGAGGGGTGCGTGTGCACGGGGAGGGGAAGAGGGGGGGGAGAGCACAGGAAGTGGGAGAAAGAAGCACGAAAAAGGGGCGGGAAGGAGGGGGGAGCACGCGAGGGGGTGGGGAAGCAGCGGAAGGGGAGGAGAGGGGGGAGAGCAGGACGGCTTGAGAGTGTGGTGGTGTGCGCAAGAACAGAGGATGAGGCAGGGAGAGCGTGTGCCACACACAGGCACACCCGCACATGCAGCAGCGCAAGACGAGGTGGTTGGGGAATCCGAGAACGGAGGGTGGAGAGCGGAGGGCAGAGGCAGAGGGCGGAGCGCGGAGGGTAGAGGGTGGAGGGTGGAGGGCGTACAGGACTTGTAGGTGCAGCAGGTTGCCCAAGGCTTCAGGGACGGACCCTTGAATATTAAAGTGGGTGAGTCTCCTGTTGGGGAACATCAAGGAACGCACACACACGGCATGGTGTGTAAGTGGCCTTGGTATGGTACTGCTTCACGCATGGGTGGATGCAGGACAAGTATTAGGGGCAGGCACACCGGCACTAGGAAGTGCTACGGTATATTCTCGTAAGGTGAAGCACATGCAAACCACAGGAAGCTCAGCGGGAGGGAAGGAACATCAAGGGAGGGAGGGACTCGGGGAAAGAACAAGAAGCTAAGGGCATCACACAGCAGCAGGTTGGATGGAAGGACGGCAAGAATGCACAAGGGGGGCACAAGCAGGGATGCGAGAATCTGGCGGGAAAGTGAGGTCAGGCAGAGGAGCACGTTGAATGTGACATGCGTGGTTGACTAGAGAAGAAAAGCATGGGGCAGTGGTGAGGGCGAGAGCGGAGACTGACAGGCGTGTGAGAGAGGTGAGGTTGAAAAGTGCCACAGGGAGAGTCTGCGTGGTGAAGCCTGCAGAGCTGTCCGCATTCCTCAGGGATCTGGAGGAGGTGGGTGCGTCGGATTCAGAACATCTATGGGAATGGGCGAAACCTGAATCACACAACCGCGTCAACGCCCCTGTATACAACAGGTTCGGCTATATCAGTGAGGCGGAGGTTCGGCAAGAAGCGGAACCCAATCAAACCCGGAAACCAGCAACTGCGGAGGGCAAACCGGGCACAGTTTGCCTTCCAGCCTTGCAAATCGGGTCTCGCATTTAAGGCACAGATACACATTGGATACTGCACTGTGCATGCTGCTTGCATGCATGGTATGGTACAGCGCGGCATGGAGCATGACCCTGGCCATGGGACGGGGCACACGTTTGCTTGCTCGTCTGTCTGCTCGTTCTTGCGGGACAAAGGCAGGGATAAGACGACGAAAATGACTCGCTGAAAGGCTGGTGGGAGCAGGTAGGGAAGCAGGGTGACTGGAGGAGGTGGCCCAAGGGGAGGTTAGGTTGGCGTAGGCAGTGCGAGAGATAAGAGCGAGCAGGACGGTGCTGCGATGTGCTGCGCGGTGCTGCGCTGTGCTGGGCTTACATCTCCTCCACCATGCCGCTCGCGCTGCACGTCAACCCCAAGGCTTTCTCGCAGGGGCCGCCCTTGGTCCATCCACTTATATTTATCCCCCAGCTACCCTGGATAGCCTGCAGAAATGGCGCTGTTGGGACGCGCAGCGCGTGCACGGGAATGAGGGACGCGGGGAAGATCGGACGGGAAGGATGTGGCGGAGAGGATTTGGTGAGCTGGTGGCCGTAGATTAGACTGACGGGTGAGAGCCAGAGCGGCTGTTGGGGTTGCTTCTGAAGCAGGTGTGCACCGTGGGATTGCATAATGAGGAATGGCTTGGCCGAAAAAGAGTTTCAGAACGGGCAGAGAACACCGAACGAGATGAGGAGTCGTGAGGGAACGGCGTGCGTGGTGGAATGAAACGGACCTTGGGAGTTGTCGATTGTCACTGATGAGACGAAGAGAGGCAGGGAGAGCAGCAGGACAATCAGCGCGGCGAATGTGAAGCGAAATCGGCTGCGTGGAGCCATGGCGACTTGAAATGGATCAACGAGGTTGAATAAGGCTGTGACGCAGAATTACTGGTGCGACTGGCTGCTCTCGAACCAGATGGCATAAGGGAGAGCCCTGTTGACAAGCGGACGGGGAACAGAAAACATTGTCGGCGAGAGTCCGAGGCCATCTGGGTTTCATTCAAGCCCAAGGCGTGGCGGGTCTACCGCGTTGCGGTCCGGAATTTCCAGAGGTACGGACAGGAAGCGGCTGGGCTTGTGGAATTTCAATGGAGTACGAGGGGCAATAATTGCGGGAGGAACCGACACCTGACGAGTACACGGCACAGCACAGCATGGAAGGATGTGTGCTTTCGCTTGGAACTTTGGTGTTGGATAGAATACACGATATTACAGACTTCACTTGCGAGTACCGTAGAACTTGTACCAGATGACGGAAGCTAAAAAATGTGGTGACTTACATGATACCAATGTGGTACCGCGTCACACTTCGTCATAAGCATATATTGATCCAATCAGTTGTAAAAATGATACCACTATTTATTCCACCTTACCCCCTTCCTTACTGAGCGTTATTAAGGATAACACAGATGCGAGAGCATAAAGTCACAAAATGCGCTACACTGTACCAAAAATAATGGCGCTGCTTCTGGGGTGCATTGCAGTGCATGCGCGTGAGAAGTGGATGGCAACAGTGACGGCAGGCAGGAAAGTTGACGTGACCGGCTGCCTGGATGCCCACGGGAGTGAGAGGCGAGACAAGCAAAGCACATTGAGCAGAGAGATACCGCACACAACAGACTGAATGCTAGATGCTTGCTGAGGAGTCATACCTGGCAGCACAGCAGCACATTGTTCGGAGCAGACATGGCATTGGCCATGGCGTATGAGTAATCCCTCGCGGCCTGCGTTTTGTGGAGTGATAGTAAGGGTCTTCAATCGCACGACGGAGTCATTCTATGCTTGCATTTCTCGCCAGCAGTGCACACCATGCCGATCGTGTGCCGTTGCAAATAAGACTACACCAGCCGCGCCGCCAACTATCACCTGCCTTTCAACCATCGCGTTCGCTTTTCTCGCTGCCTAAATTCATGTCAGCTACTCCGAGAAAGCCAAGCTACCAATCTTGCCCTCGCTTCACCAAGCGCTTTGGAAAGCATGCCACGTGTCAAACTCCATGGCCATAGGGAAGCACGGGGCTCGTGCAAGAATAGCCAGACCAAGGCGCATTGAGCATTGCTCGAGAAACCGTTTTCTTTGACCAGAAAGATCAGCTAGGAGAGCAGAACCACCTATCGGAGGCGTGCAATGCGGGCGAGCAGACGAGGAACCCCCGTTCCTCGCTCATCCTTCCTGCGCGATCTCTTCTTTTCAGACGATCGTCGTCCTGACGGGTCGCCGCGTCGTTCCGCGTTTTCTCAGTGGCCTCAGTAGTTCTCTCAACCTAGTACGCCCCCTCTACGCCAGCGCGCCATGTCAGCATCCAATTTAAGAACGCGATTTAAAGACTCGCGGATTCCTTACACCCGTGACATTTCAATGATTCCACGCACGATTGGCTAGTGGCGCGTGTAGTGCCACCTAGTTCTCCTTTAACAGCCGATCCATTTCATTAGTTATTTAAGGGCGTTATAAGCTTTTCGACAGCAGGCATTTGCTCTTTCATACCTAGACAGCACAGCAGCTCTCGGGATCGCTGTAGTCTCATCACCACCGCGCGTTAGTTACAGCGGGTAACCCTAAAGCATGCCTCGAGCCTACCCGGGGCGGTACGCGGAGGCAGTGGTGGAGGGGTCGACGTCCAGCTGGCCGTGGCAGAGATGGCGTGACGTGGCTCGAATCCAAGGTGACGTGGCGGTTTCATTGCTGAATCGTGACGTGGCGGTGGCTGCCATCATGGCGGTTTATATGTGTCTAGCGTGGCTTTGACTGGCTCACTACGGGGCAAAATATGTTGTTTGTCTGTGTCATTACTGTCTCCGCTTATACTCTCTCCATCCCGCCCCCTTCCACCCCCACGTCCCGTGTTCAACCAATGGCAGCGCCCCAAATTCCCCACCAGCAAGCCCTTGGCCCGCCCTTCGATCCCTCTCACCCCCTCGCGCGTCTCCCCACCATCCGCCCCACATTCCTCTCTCCTTTCTTCCTCCACGCCTCCTCCTCCTCTCCGTACCCACCCCGCACCACCGCCGCCGTCTCTCCGTGGCTCCCTCCACACATCACAGCACGGGGCGCGGCGTGGGGGGCAGCCGCGGGGGCGGCGGCGGCGGGGGTGTCGTCAGAAGCGGCGCTGGTGCTGGTGTCCCTCGCGCTGCTGCTCTCCCTCTGGAACAGACAACTGCGCCGCTCCACCTCAGGTGCATGCACGCCCCCCTTCACCTGCTCTCTCTGGCAGATTATCTCCATTCCACCACATGCCAGCCGTGCAGGTAAGGTAAGCTGCAGCTCTGTGCAGGCACTTGTTCCCCTCCCCACCCCACCCACTTTCCCAACACAGCCCCACCTCTCCACGGACGCACGCCTCATCACACTTGTTGGGCCACTGCACTGCAAAGGTCACCTCAACCCACCCGCCTATCACAACCTCTTCACCACTCCTTCACCATGCCGTAACCTGCATGTCTCACCACCACCCACCCCTCCCCTCCCTCAATCTCTCTCCCTCACCCACCCCTCCCCCCCCTCTCTCTCTCCCACACCCACCCCGTTCTCCTCCCCCGCGCACTCCCCCCATCAGGGTCGTGTCAGCAGTACAGCCTGGACGAGGTGCAGCGGGCAACGGACTACTTTGCGGAGGAGAACAAGATCGGCACGGGCGGGTTCGCGCACGTGTACCGCGGCACCTCGCCCTTCAACCCCGACTCGCTCTGGGCCGTCAAGCGCTGCACCGTGCCCACCGAACACTTCGGCCGCGTGGTGCGCGGGGATCGGGGAGGGCCGGGAGGAAAGGAATGGGGAAATGGGGGGAAGGGGAAGGGGAAGGGGAAGGGGAAGGGGAAGGGAGAGGTGGGGGGTTGTTTGTGAGAGGGGTTGGGATTGAAATGGAGGGGTTGGAGGGGGGTGTGTGTCATTGAGGAGGTTCTTTTCCCACACGCGACTCTAAACAGGGTACCCGTCCTTCTCTGCCAGTGCCTCGGTTACTCCATCCCCTATCCTCTCCTTGTGCCCTGCTCGCCTGCTCTATTTCACCCCATCCCATCCCATCCCATCCCATCCCATCCCATCCCATCCCGTCCCCATACCATGGCATGGCATGCCATCTCCCTCCCATCCCATCCCATCCCATCCCATCCCATCCCATCCCATCCCATCCCATCCCATCCCATCCCATCCCATCCCATCCCATCCCATGGCGCGCCATCCATCCACGCACGGGAGAGCAGGTGCGGGAGATGTCGAACAAGATCCATCCGAACCTGGTGCGGCTGATAGGGTGCTGCAACGACTTCAACGAGGGCGAGGGCAGGCACGAGCAGATCGTCATCTGCGAGCTCATGCCTGGCGGCAGCATCCACAGCCGCTTCAGCCGAGGTCACCTCCGCACACACGGCACACATATGCATGCTTGCATGCATTCACCAACTCATGTTGCTGCCTGGAACTTTCCCCCCCCCTTTCTCCTCCCCCGCTCCCTCTCTCTTTTCTTTCTCTTATTCCCCCCTCCTGCCTCTCCGTTTCCCTTCCTTTCCCTCTCTCTCTCACTCTGTCACTGTCATTGTGTGCTCGCGCTCTGGGTTCTGTTCTCACTCACTCCGTTCGCTTGCTCCACCCCACCCCACCCTGGCCCACACAGATTCGCGTGACCCACTGACCCTGCAGCAGCGGCTGGACATTTTGATAGGAGTGGCGCGTGGCCTGGAATTTCTGCACAGCTTTGGCATCGTGCATCGCGACATCAAGCCCGCCAACATCCTGCTGGACAGCAACATGCAGGTGAGTCCCACCCACTGCGTTTTCTCTCTTCTCCATCCTCCCATTCCTCATCCCACCCCTCTTCTCCACGCGCATCACCCAGATCATGCCATGTGCCCCTTCAGCCTTCTCTCCCAGCTGCAATCTCTCAAGGTCCATCATTGCCTCCTTTCCTCCTTTCCTCCGTCTCCTTTCTCTCAAGCTCGTTGGGCATTGTTGCGCATTGTGATTGCCTCTGCACTGGAGTAAAAGCATGCCAGACGGGTCTTCCCAACCCCGCCTACTCTCCTGCCACTCCTCCCACACCCAACCCACACCTCCCCTCTCTCCCCTCCCACCCCTCTCCCTCCCCCCCCTCTCTCCCGTCTCCCTTCTCCCGCTACCTCTCTATCCTCCCCGTTCCCCCACCTCGTTCTCCCGCTCTCTCCCCCTGCGCTGGCAGGCGAAGATATCAGCGTTTGGGGCGGTGCGCATGGGGTATGACGAGCACATGGTGCAGTCCATGGGCACGCATGGCTACATCGACCCCGCTTCCCGCGCCAACAGGAACGCTCGCCCCAGCGCCGACGTGTACAGGTGGGTGCTGTGCTTTGCGGTGGAGTACGGCGCTTTGGTGTGGTGTGCTCTGTGTGTGGTGTGGTGTGGTGGGGGCTGGGCTGGGCGAGTGTTGATCTGGCATGTGGGTTGTGCACGGTTGTGGCACAAGGAAGGGGTTCATTAGTCAGGTCATTACAGTGCAAGATCAGAAGTCAGTGGTGATGACAGACAGTAGGCATGGGGTTGCCGTTGCCCGCTGTTGTGGCTTGTCTACTCGAATTCCTCAGTCATCACCCCCGCACCCCCTCCCCCCTCCCTTCCCCTTCTCCTCAATTCGTTCCCCTGTGCATGGTGGCATGGTGGCCTGGTGGCATGGTGGCATGGTGGCATGGTGCATGGGCGGCGGCAGTTTTGGAGTGGTGATGCTGGAGATGCTCACAGGGCGCAAGGCAGTGGAGTGGGACGGCAATGCCGACAGCAGCTTCAAGGGATGGGTGAGCAATGCGCCCTGCTGTTGCATGGGCGAGCAAGGCGAGAAACACATCAGGCTGTATTGGCATATCGGTCAGATCCGATTGTTCCAAACCACTACATTGAGTCTCTATTCTAAATCAAATCAGTCCCCTCCTTTCCTCGCCCCCATCCTCTCCCTTCACCCCCAGCACCCTCTTCCGCCTCCCCCTCTCTTTCCCCATACGACTGCAACGTGGCGCTGATCGGCGACCTGCATCTCAAGGCTCGGTGCCCACTGGTCTATACCCTTCTCCTCTGCCCTCTGGACCCTGCCCCCCACCCTCCGCTCGCCGCCGCCTCTCTTACAGGTGGTGCAGTGTCTGTACGACCGCAACGTGGCGTTGATCGGCGATCCGCATCTCAAGGCGCCAGACAGTGTGGTGGTGCGCATGGCGGACCTCGCCCTGCCGTGCCTCGCCATGCCCCCTGACAGCCGCCCCTCCATGGCGCGTGTGATTCACGACCTGGAGGCCGTGAAGCTCTTCATTGCCTCGCAGTGGCCTGACCTCGTGCACTGCTCGCCTGATGCTGCCCGCTCTGCGGATGGGGCCAGTGGGGAACTCAGCTCTGGTGAAGCCGTGTCAGGTGCGAGCGTGTGGGCGAGGGGGGGGGAGTGAGTGAGTGTGTGCGTGTGTGTGTGGGTGGTGGTGTGTGTGCGGTGCGGTGCGGCATGGTATGGTTTCTATCGTGCTGCTCTCAAGTTCCTTCCCATTGTTCAGTTCTGTACCCACTTCTTGTTGCATTTCTAACGATTCCATTCATCTTTGACTTCTGAGTCAGTGCAACATCAGTGTATCTCAAAAACATCTTCCACCCCACCATGTAACAACAGTGTCCTCTCATGTTTCCACTCTCACTTGGTTTTCTCTCTTCTTCCCGTTTCATACCTGTTCCTCCCTCTGCTGGGTGTGTGTCTCAATGACCTGCCATCACCCAACCAGGTCCGACGACGACCACCACCATTGCCAGAACAAACTCAAGTACGATCACTCCACGTTCCACACTCACCCCACACTCTCTCTCTTCACCTTGCATCCCTCCTCTCTTCTGCCCTCCATCCTCCCTGCTACATTGAGTTACCTTTCTTTCTTCACCCAGTCCCTCCACGTTAGTGACTTTGTTACGCCATGTAATACAATACAACCCCTCGTCACCCGATTCACCATATTCACCCTATTCACCCTGTTCACCCTATTCCCTTGTGCAATTTTCTGTTTTTCTTTTTCTGGATCGAGAACATCGCCCACTAACCACTGTGTGCTTCACCACTGCTTGCCCAGATGTGGCAGCAGCGGAGCGGAGAGGCCCGCTGCTGTGCCAGCAGGTGAGTGTGGCGGAGGTGGTGCGGGCAACGGGCGGGTGGGCGGTGGAGAGGCGGATCGGCAGCGGCGGGTTTGGCGACGTTTACCGCGGAGTGAGCCCCCTTGATGGGTGCACGCCCTGGGCTGTCAAGCGCGCCAAAGTGCTCACCAATGACTTCCGGAGAGAGGTGAGCTCACAGGGCGGGACTCCACCAAAGACTCGCGGGATGTCGATGGGACTAGGGGGTGAAATCACAGGTTTTGCCAATCAATTCTTGTGAAGGGATCAATTTCATACTTCGCATTGCCCCTGTGCTTCCATGCCTCCCTACTTCCCCCTTTCTTGTCCCCTCCTCACGCTTCCCCCCACTGCTGTCTCCCCCCTTGTCAACCCCCGTGGCATGCAGATCAACGAGATGGCATCGAAGCACCATCCCAACCTCGTGCGGCTGCTGGGCTTCTGCATTGATGGCGATGCGGCATCGGAGAACATGGAGCAGATCGCCATCTACGAGTTCATGCCCAACGGGGACCTCGAGAAGCGCCTGCACCCTGGTGAGTGAGGTCATCACATGCCTGCTTGCCTGCCACTGCACACTCTCTTGCTCGCCTCGCACCCCCCGTCGGGTCGCCCCGCGCTCTCCTGCTGTGAGGCCCTTCCAGGCTGTGGGGTGCGTGGTCTCTGCTGTCTTGTGTGTCAATGTACCACGTCTCGAAGAACCACTCTCATTGACAGCCTGCCATGCATCCTCTTTCCCAAGTCTTCAATTTGCCACTTTCCAACCCTCCCACCCTGCTGCCCGGCTGCGTGGCACCACCATGCAGGCACGTCGCCAGAGCCGCTGTCGTTGAGGCAGCGGCTGGACATTCTCATAGGAGTGGCGCGCGGGTTGGAGTATCTGCACAGCTTTGGCATCGTGCATCGCGACATCAAGCCCGCCAACATCCTGCTGGATCAAAACATGAAGGTGACGTGCAACCTCCCGTTCCCCTCTTGCTATCCCCGCCCCCTTTTCCCCTTTTCCCCACACTCTCTCGCTCACACGCATACAACCGCCTTATATTCTTGCTTTGGAATCCACTCACACCCTCACGCCCTCAATCCCTCACTCCCTCGCTCTCCCGTTCGACACACGCCCTCTTCGTTCCGCAGGCAAAGCTGTCGGATTTCGGGCTGGTGAGGATGGTGGAGGGAACGACATGCCAGTCCACACGGGTGATGGGCACGCCGGGCTATGTGGACCCCGCATACTCGCTCACACACAAGGCCACCCCCACTGTTGATGTGTACAGGTACGGTGCACCTCCCTCCCTTACCAGCACCACCTTCACTCTTCCCTGTACATGCCGTCTCTCTGTACATGTGCTTGTGCTGCCACGAATCTCTTCTTTCTGCCTCATTTCTCCTCCCCATACCTGTCCCACTTCCTCTCCGACCTCTTTCCCTCCTCGCGGCCCCGTCCTCCTGCTCATGCTGCTGCACGGCACGTGGTGGTGGGCAGTTCCGGGGCATAGTGAGGCTGGAGCTGCTGACAGGGCACAGAGTGGCGTTGTATACCTCCCTCCTTGCTACTTCCCATATCTGTCCCACCCCAATCCACCCCCCCACCCACACCCTCCTCCTGCCATGGCACGGGGCACACGTGGGGTCAGTTCCGGGGCATAGTGATGCTGGAGCTGCTGACAGGCCACAGGGTGCTAATGTATACCTCCCTCCTTCCCATATCTGTACCACTTTTCCCCCAAACCCACCCCACTCCATGCTGTACCACTTTTCCCACCCTCCTCCTGCTGATGCCCCCCATGCTGCACGGGGCACATGTGGGTCAGTTTTGGCATAGTGATGCTGGAGCTCCTAACAGGCCACAGGGTGGTGTTCATCCTGGATGGCGGCGGGCCCATGAACATCAAGGAGTGGGTGGAGCAGCGCATAGCATCCGGCGACATCAGCGCAATAGGCGACCCCTTCATGCGCGCCCCCGACTCCCTCGTACTCCGCATGGCCCGCCTGGCTCTCCGCTGCACGGCTGCACTCACCGCGGCGAGGCCGACAATGGGAGAAGCTGCGACAGAGCTGGAGATTCTCAAGAAGGAGTTTTTTGGGCTGGAGAGCGGGCGCATGGCGCAGCGGGTGGACGAGCAGATGCAGTCGCTAAGGTTGACGCACAGGGACTTGAGGGAGGAGCTGCAGATGATTGCGGGGATCGAGTCGAATGCGAGTTCGGCGACGGGGAGGCGGCTGTCGGGGGGCGTGCGGCGCGAGGAGGAGGAGGCTGTTTGAGGGAAGTGTCAGGAACGAGGAGGGGAGGTTGTGTGGACCTGAAGTCGTCGAAAGGAGAGGGGGAAGGTTGGGGGGTTGGGGTGGGGGGAGAGAGCAGCCATGCAGTGCAGAGGGTTGAGAGCGGCCGCATGGCGCAGCGGGTGGACGAGCAGATGCAGTCGCTAAGGTTGACGCACAGGGACTTGAGGGAGGAGCTGCAGATGATTGCGGGGATTGAGTCGAGTGCAAGCTCGGCTACTGGGAGGCGGCTGTCGGGCGGGATAAGGCGCGAGGAGGAGGAGGCCGTGTGGGGGAGGACTGAGGCACTAGGTGGGGTGGTTGCATGGAAGGGAAGTTGGGACTGACTGGAAGAGCGGGAATGGAGGGTGGTTGTGGGATTGAATGGAAGATGCAGGCGCAGGTGCTGATCTTGAGGCGCCTTACAGAGTGTGGAGTTGACACCTCGAGTGCAGGGCGAGATATGTGGAGTGGTGTGGTGGTAGGATGCTGTGTTGGGTGGCGTGCAGTGGAGACGCCTGCCTGTCGCCCTCAGGACGGTTGGAGGGGGAATGGGGCGAAATACCATGCAGGGCGGAACAGCCGTGCCACCGTGCACAGCGCGGTATGGATGGTGGTATGGGGACAAGGATGAAGAACGATGTGGGAAAAGGAGAGGCAGATTGTTAAAAAGCCTGTTTGGTGGAAAAGCTCCTGAGTTGTGCAATGTACCACTGTACTACGTAATACTGTTCGTTTCAAGAAACCCGTTAGTAACATTTTCTCTGGAAATATCTAGCACACATGCCTACCACACCCCTCTTCCCACTCCGTCGTAACGCGACGAGATTCTTGTTCCTTGAATTCTCTCCTCTCCACCACCCTCGCCGACACTGCTCTCGGCTCCATTGCATCACCAACACCACCATTCACTGCGCTCACCATTCCCCATTCACCAACACCGTCATTCCAGAGCGCCACGCCCTTCCATAGCGCAGCGCTGCTCGTTGTCCGCGCGCCCCCGGTGCGGCCCCCGCGCAAGCATGCCGCCGCCAGCGCCACTCGCAGGGGTTAGCGCGCCGCTCAGTGCCCGCGCATGCGCTTCCGCCCTCCGCCCTTCGTGCGCGCGCTGGTCTCCGCGGGGTCACGCGCGGCCTTTCCCCACCGGGAGCTGGTCAACCCGTGCGGTGGATTCAAGCGCGCAGCTGGCGCATCATTGCTGCGCGCCACTGCGGGTGTTCGTGGGGAGAGAAAGAGGGTCCGCAGGACACGGCGCGTTGAGAAGCCTAGCACGCGGAGGAAGCGCGGTCTGGGGGAGACCGTGCGGGAACTGTGGCGGCAGAGTGGGCGAGCTAGCGCGGTGCCGCGCAGGAGGGGGGGATGCGGTTACCAGCGGCGGCGGGGGGCGAGGCGGCGGAGGGGGAGCGGAGGGAGCGGGAAGCGGCGGGTACCGATCACTGGAGGAGCTGGCAAACGCCGTGGAAGCTTGCTTCTTCGAGGTGCGCTGCCATGCCATGCACGCTGCAGCCATGAGAAGAGTGCCCATCCACTGTGTCTTCCCATCGCCGTGCCCGCCACCGTGCTTGCCACAGTGCTTAGCCGAGTGTTGAGGCGCCTGAATTCTCCTTCCGCCGTGCCTTCCACCGCCTCTGCCAGCCAGCCTTCGTGCGCCCTCTCCCACTCCCCCTTCACAGCGCCTCCTGACGCCCCCTTCCTTCCCCCTCTCCCCGCGTGTGTGTGTGGAGCGAGCAGGTGTGTGTGAGCAACAGCGGGCGGCCAGCAGCGAGCGCGCTACACGACCTGGTGGCTGCTGCAGCTGACGCCTTCCTCGCAGGCCACTCGCTGCAGCGCCTGCAGCTGCAACTGCAGGTGGGGGGGCGGGAGACGGGAAGGGGGGCATGGGCGAACGGGGGGAAATGGGGAAGGGGGAAGGAACAGTGCATGCCCTACTGAATTTGTTCTGTATCTGCATGCATACATGGGTGGTATGGATTGGGTCCCGGTGCTTACATGCCATGGACTCACTTTTTTTCCCCCTTCCCTTCCCCCACCCCCCTTTCCCCTTTCTTCCCCCCCTACCCCCTCATTCCCCCACTCCCGCCTTGCCCGCCACCGATCCCCACCCGCCGTCCCCGTTCCCATGGGTGGGGGCAGTACGGGGGAGCGGAGGGGGAGGAGTTCAGGATGAGCGAGGCGGGGTACAGGCTCACGTCGTCAGAGCAGCTCTACCGCACTCAGTGGATCAAAACGGTGCCTCTCTGCCCTGCCTTGCTCTGCCCTGCTGCTTGTTCCCCCCCGCTCTCCCTCTCTTGCAACTTCCTTCTCCCCCTTCTTGCCTTCCCTCCCTCTCACACACACACAAAGACACACACATTTACTCGAACTCAGGAATGGACACACATTCTCACTCACATGCTCACAAACGAATGCTTGTCTTGTCATCCTACCCACCACCACCACGCTGGTCTGCTCACCATCCACTCCCACGCCCTTCCCCCTCACTACCCCCCCCCCCCCCCCCTCACATCTACCGCCACCAGGTGTACCTGACCATGTACCGCCTGCACCTGCAGCAGCCTGGCTCCTCCTTCATAAGCATGCCCACCAGCAGCAGCTCAGGCGTTAGCAACAACAGCAGCAGTGGGAGCAGTGGGAGCAGTGGGATGGACGCGGGGCGGCCTGCTCTCGGCCTGGGCATGTTTGAGGGCGCCATGCCTCCTGCTTCCGAGCAACAACCCTTCTCCGATGCCTCTGAGAGCAGCAGCCGGAGCGGTGGGGATGGCAGTAGTGACGAGAGCAGGAGTGGGGGCAGCAGCAGCAGCAGTAGCAGCAGTATGGGAGCGTTGGAGGGGCTATGGGAGGCGATACAGGAGGAGCCGTGGCTGGGGAGCATAGTGGATCGGGTGCTAGAGGGGCAGAGGACGGGCGAGGAGCAGAGCCTAGTGCACTTCGACCGTGCTCTCGCCACAGCGGGGGCGTCTGGGGGCGTAGCGGCAGAGCGGCGTGTGATTGCCCCGCAGTGGCTGCCCATCAGCCAGCTGGTGCTGCTCACGTGTAAAGTCGCCAATGAGAGGCGCGGACCGGTGTGAAATGGTTCTGAGGCGTTCCTTATGTGTTGAAGACGGGTTTGAGATGTCTTAAAACGCAGTGGCTGCCCATCAGCCAGCTCGTGCTGCTCACGTGTAAAGTGGTCAATGAAAGGCGGGGGCCCCTATGAACCCTGTGAGAGTGGCTACCGGGAAAGATTCGATTCGTGTGGCTAGTGGTTAGCGCGGTGGGTTTAAAACGCCGCTTCTCGTGTGTTAGGCGGAGAATGAGTGGAAGGGTGAGGTGTGGAAGGGCAGGAGGAAGGAGGGTTGGGGTGGCATGGCGTGGGTCGATTGGTGGGTGTGAAGGTGGATGGTGGTCGCTTGGAGCAGGATTGAGACTGTGTGAGGGTGAAAAGGGCAGGAGGGTGTGATACGGAGAGGGATGGGAGGCATGTGAGGGATGTGTGGTGGTGGGGGGCATGTGAGGTGGAGGAACAGCAGTGCATGCTGCTCCTTGCTGCACAGCACAGACAGCCTCCTCAAGCAGATAGTGCATCGTTCAAGACAAGGTGTTTGCTTGTGTGTCGGTGGATTATACGGCAGTTACACAAAACTCATTTGCTGGTGGCTGGTGGCTTTGGGGGAATTTCAAGAGCCGCTTGTGGCAGCAGGAACACCATCAGTTCTCCACTGTTTGTTCTCCCATCCCTCCACGGTGGTACCGTACCTCCTTGCCTCTTCCACACTGCTGCTTGCTTGATGCATCTACAACACTGCAGTGAAAACATGGACCAATGCGGACACATTCCATTCCATCCATATACAGTACACACACCTACTGCTAGCATATACAGTGAAGCGAAGTCAATCATAGATGGGATGTCGTGAAAGAATCCCCAACAGAGCTTATGCAAGGCATAACAGCTTTCCTTCCACCGGTCCACCCTACACAATGTGAGGAGGAAGGATACCGTATTCCAAAGCACCGCGGTCAATGAGGTACCTACATTGTTGGAAAAACGGAGGCTAAGCTAATTGTATCGGAAGCTAGGAGAGTAGAGGAGTAGAGGAGTTGTCACAGTCACAGGCGTGTCTTCTTCACCATCTCCTTCTCTACTGCCACTGCTGTCACTGCCGCTGCCGCCACTGCCAATACCGCTGCTGCCGCCGGTGCTGCTGCTGCCACTGTTATGGCTAGAATGGCTGTCCTCAAAAGTAACCTTACGCTTTCCCTTGCTTCGACCCGTGGAACTCGTGACATGCCTACCCCCCTCCATGCTACTCTGAGCTTCAGCACAAGCGCGAGTTGGTGAGGCAGAGACGTCTAGTGCCCTCACAGCTGTCTTACCAGCAGGAGGCGGTAGTGCCAGCACAAGCACACAGGCCACCGCCTACCCAGGTGGTGACGATGACATGAGGCAGAGCAGGAATGGGCAGGGGGGTTGGACGGGTGTAGAGGGAAGAAAGGTGAGGGCACGGACAGAATTGAGTTGAAAGAGAAGAGTTGGAAAGGTGTGAATGAACGGTGCAGATGCAAGGTGTGACGAGTGGTGGGGAGGGGTAAAAGGCACATTGATGATGCATTGCGAGGGGTAGGAGCAGGGGAGCACGAAGCGCATGGGCGCACGGAGGGCATGGGGGCACGGAGGGCATGGGCAAAAGAAGGCCATGGGAGCATGTGGGTGTTGTGTTGTGTTGTGTTACCTCGACAATGGCTGTGACGAGGATGCCGGCACCAGGCTGATGGATGGGCGCTGAGTCAGACATGAAATACGCTGGTGGGATGGGTGGAGGAGAGGAGGGTATGCAGGATGGGACGGTGGATGGATGGATGGATGGGTGGGAGGAAGGACTCAAAGACGAGGTGAGGAAGTGAAGAGTACAGTAAGCACTGGGAACCACTCGTACGATCGTGAGGAGGAGTGATCCTGCAAGGCAAGGTGTGCTTTGAGTCGACTCAAAACAGGAGTGATCCTGCAACGCAAGGCGTGAGCACTGAGAACCACTCTTACCTCAGCACTGATCCCGTGCTCCCTCCCTCACCATCAATCATACGCCTCCTCTGCGCATAAGCCCCACGCGTAGAGGAGCAGCAAGATGATGTTTGAGGGTGGAACATCATGCTGTCTCCATCACACAAAGAAAAAACGGAGGGAGGGAGGGAGCGTACCGGTGATGGGGTTGATGGTGAGAGGAGCGAGCACAGCAGAGAGAGAATGGATGCTCGACACCACCCCTTGCAGCTTGCCCTGTGCGGTGAAGCACGCAGGGAGGGACGAACGGAGGCGAGTTAGACGTTTCCTATGAGGTGAAGCATGCAGGGAGGGAAAAAAGGAGGTAGCGAACATGCACACAGCAGCTTTCACTGGAATGAATATTCCGAATGGGCTCTCATGACTCGCCTCTCAGGACTTCGATATGTCTTAAAACCCTCCCCCCCCCTCCATCCCCCGCGTGGCTCACCTGTTCCCTGGGGCCTGCAAGGTGTGAGATCATGGTGCTGATCTGCATGGGGGAGAGGCATGTGACGGGGGGGAATGAACAGCGGCGAGGGGAGGCGTGTTAAAGGGGATGCGATTATAAGATGCACTTGGTCTATGTGTGATTCTTCCAAGCATAAAGGAAAGGTAATATGCGAGGGGTGAAGGTGGCGAGGAGATGAGAGGAGAGGAGAGAGGAGAGGAGAGGAGAGGAGAGGAGAGGAGAGGAGAGGAGAGGAGAGGAGAGGAGAGGAGAGGAGAGATGATGAGATGAGAGGAGAGGAGAGGGAAGGAGAGGAGAGGAGAGGAAAGGAAAAGTGCGGAGAGAGCATACCAAGGTTTGAGTGGGTGAAGAGACGATGCTCATGCATAGCGCCAAGTACACCACCTGCACACATGCCATGCCACGTGTCAGGCCGGGTGAAACGTGTGACACTTGCTCACAGGGCCATGCATGCAAGCAGGGCAAGGGGAGCGCATCAAGATTCAGCGCAGCAGGCAGGTGTGAGAGGCTGCATGGGACGAGGTGGTGGGTGGGTGCGGAGTGGATATTGCATTGGAGATGGGCTGTGGGGCAGGGCAGGATATACCCATGGTTTCCATGCGAGCCCATACAGGACCACCTGCATGAGTGGGACGAACAGACACAGACATGCACAGGCACGGGGAAAAGGGAGGGACGGAGACAGACAAACATATGGAAGGATGCAGCACCTCATGCGTGCAAAGGAAGTGAGGGCCCATGGGATGTGAGGGCCCATGGGATGTGAGGGCCCATGGGATGTGGTAGCTGTGACGATGAATCAGCATACTCACACACTGGTTCTGTTTCATTGACATGGCTTATATTCAATGGGCCTGCCTCACATGAAAGCTGTTGATGGTAATAGCGAGGATGAGCAGGGAGCGGAGGGGGAATATCTGGAGCAGCAGGGGCAACAGCAAGAGCTGGCAGCGGGGGGAGAGAGGAGGGGACGAGAGAGAGAAAATATGGAGGGGAGAAGGATGAGAATGGGTGGGTTGCTATGCCGGCATGACAATGCGGAGAGTGGGATGATGGTGCGGCAGGCACCAAGCGATTGAGTGCAAGCGTAGCTGAGAATGTGTGTGTGTGAGTGTGTGTGTGTGTGTGTGTGTGTGTGAGTGTGTGTGTGTGTGTGTGTGTGTGAGTGTGTGTGAGTGAGGGGTGCGTGTGTGAGAAGTGGTGCATGTTTGAGAGTGCAGGCGACCATGCAGCATGCGGGACAGTGTGATGGAGAGTGAAAGCAGTAGCAGCTCAGGTGGAGAAGCAGCAGCAGCAGCGGCAGGGCTTGACAGCAGCATACATGGGAGAGCACGCCAGAGAGGCCGATGCTAGCAGTGTAGAGTGAGAAGTCGTCCTTGCTCCAGTGGAACTTGGCCTTGAACACGTACTGCCGAGGGGAGAGGAAGGGGGCGGGGGCGTGCGGGATGGGATGAGGCATGAAGAGAAGGGATGAGGGCACACGTGAGATCCTTATTCCCTTGCCTGTGGATTGGAGGTGCGGGCGATTGGAGAGTCCAAAGGCTCCAGGAGTTTTGAGAAGTGGGTGTGGTGGGGTTGAGGACCAACACAAGCTAATATCGTGGAGGCATGGCGGTTGAATTGAACGGATGGTGATTGCTTTTGCTGCAGGATCAATGAGGTGGTTTTGAAAGCGTGATCTGTTTCATCTGCCTCGCACTGCAGTAGTGCACCATATGTGTGCGAGTCTTCGTCCTGACCAGAGGGCCACTTTTTAAGAACGACTGACCAAACAACCATGTGATTGGTCAGGAGGATTCTCCGGAAGGCACCACGTGGTTGCGCGTGCGGTGCAAGTGGGTGGGCGGCGAGAGTGCGGGGAGCAGAGGAATGCAGAGGCATGCAGAGGCATGCAGAGGCATGCAGAGGCATGCAGAGGCATGCAGAGGGCCTTGTGGGGGGCAAAAGAAGGGAGGGCGACTTACAAGCATGTTGGCCACTTGACCGTTGTCAGCAAAGGCATGCAGGAAGGCCACTAGCAGCAGCATGGAGACGACTGGACTGGCTCCCATGGGGCGTGGAACAGCGGGGCGTGGAACAGCAGGGCATGGGAGAGCGGGGCGTGGAGGGGAAGGGAAGGGAATGGCGTTGAGTTGAGAGGATTGCAAGAGCAAGAGACGAGTGGATTCAAGAAGATGATTGGGCACGACACAAAGGGTGAACGGGTTCTTGCCAAAGCAGTGCCACCCCAGCAGTGAGAGGCAGGGAGAGGCAGGGAGAGGCAGGGAGAGGCAGGGAGAGGCAGGGAGAGGCAGGGAGAGGCAGGGAGAGGCAGGGAGAGGCAGGGAGAGGCAGGGAGAGGCAGGGAGAGGCAGGGAGAGGCAGGGAGAGGCAGGGAGAGGCAGGGAGAGGGCAGCGGGGGCACCTGGAGAACCTGATGTGCATGGCAGCTTCCTTGAGTGTGGATCTGCTTCGCATCAACACTGCCGACTTGCTTCGCTTCACGCTCCTTGCCCCTCCCCGCCCTGCACCTGCACTCCCCCCTCCTCCTCCTCCTACCTCTCCTCCCTCGCGTCCGCCTCCTTTCAATCCTCCTCCTCCCTTCTCCCCGTTCCCACCATCTCCACTCCCTTCCAGGAGCCGAGTCCTCTCCCCCACACTCCTCCCACTGCCACCACCACCACCACCACCACCTCTTCCTCCTCTGCTCACTCTCCCTCCGCCTTCTTGACCCCCCCCCGCAATCCCCACGTCATCCACAGCCGCCACAGCAGCGGCAGCGGCAGCAAGAGTACTCTGCCGACTGCCTCCTCCACTTGCTCCTCCACCTCCTCCACTTCTCACTCCGCCACCCCTGTCTTGACCCCCGTCTTGACCCCCTCCTGAATTCCTCTCCCCATCAACAGCCGCTATAGCAGCAGCAATGGCATCAAGAGTACTCTGCCGCATGCCTCCTCCTCTTCTTCCACTTGTCACTCCGCCACCCCCTTCAGGAGGACCCCCTCCTGAACTCCCCGCCCCATCAACAGCCGCCATAGCAGCAGCTGCGGCAGCAAGAGTACTACCATGCTCCACATCATGCGAGGCGGCCTTGCGCAGGAGGGGTTGCAAGAGCAGGGACTCAGACAGGGACTGAGGTAGAGAGTCAGGTAGGGATTCGGGCACCATGCAGAGAATGTACGCCCACCCACACGAGCACAGCAGCGTCGCCACCTGCAGACATCACGTACGCATGGGGTTACCAACATAAGTGCAAATGGCAGGGAGAAAAACAGCATAGGAGCATGGGATGGGACCGCTCGACTAGACCACAACGGCAGCAGTGGGTGTGCGTGTGTGGTTCCGTGTGTGGGTGTGTGGGTGTGTGCGTGTGTGCGCGTGTGCGTGTGTGCGTGTATGGGCAGGGAGGTTGGGGCGCACATGGAAAGTGATGGCAGGAGGCACGAATCGAGCGACGAGCGGGCCAGCGAGGAAGCCAACGGCGGTGGTGCCGGAGATGGCTCCAAACGCTGCCGCCCGGTTGGCCTCCTCTGTCACGTCCGCCTGCACAGTGGATAGAGAGAAAGGGAGACGGTGGGCGGGAGGGAGAGAGGGAGGCTGAGAGGGAGAAGAGAAAAAAGAAATGCGGACCAAAGGGGAGAGCTGCAGGGCAGCAGGGGTGCGAAGAGAGCAACGAATGCAGCGAATGCTGAACAGAGGAAGATGCGAGGCATGCAGAGACAGACAGCGTGGGAGTCTAGGAGTTGGAGTGGGTTCAGCAAGGTTCAGCAAGGTTCAGCCAACCCACCACATACACATAAATAAGATCGAGCCATGCAGAGCTGCCCAGGGCAATCCCTGCCGCATTCGCCGCAAAGTACAGGTACACGGCCAGGCGACTGGAGCTGGTAGCGAGGATGGCTGTAACGGGTACGGGACGGGAAGTTGTTGTTGGGGAGGGGCGACCCGTGACGATTATGTGGCCAAGGGAAGTGCAGTGGGAGCGAGGGGAGGCAGCAGAAGAGTATGTCAGGCGAGCGCACATATGAAACAACAGAGCGGGAAATGCTGGGGGACGGAAAGGTGACAGACAGGCAATCCGCGAGCTGAGAGAATGTGCGCGCGTGATGAAGAGAAGGAGCGGCGAGGGCGCACCGTTGGGGATGGTGATGCCTGCGATGCTGAGAAGCAGGAAGGGCTTGCGGCCGTGCTTGTCCGAAAGGTTCCCGAATATGGGCGCCACGATTATGTTCGCTATGCCGCCCACCTGCCATGCCGCGAGGGAACAGGGCGAAGCGGGGGCGCGAAAAGAAGATGCGCGTGAGGGGCGGGCGTGACGTGAGGGGCGGGCGTGAGGGAAGGCATGGGCCTTAACGCCCACTCAACCCGAGAACCAACGGGTAACCTAGTTGGCACCGCTGCGCGCAGTCCCGTACCGTGGCGCTTCCGGCGGAGAGCATGAGCGCCTCGGGGCACTGGTCGGTAGCGCAGAGCGCGGCGACGATGACGTCTAGCATGGATACGATCGCGATCCACAGCCCCATGGCCACCAGGATCATTCCCGCCATTAGCGGCGCCAACTGCGCGTACACCGCGCGCATCGTCGATAGTGACATGGCGCCGCGGATGGGGCGTCAGAAACGACCGGTCGGTAAGAGGCTCCTCTGCGCTTATTCGCCTCAGGTGATTAATGCTGAGTAATAAGTTATGAAAAATAAAGCCTTCGTCGTTTCTAGCAGAAAGAAGCTCCAGCGGGACCAAGGAAGACGAGTTGACAAGAACAAGGCTGATCCAAAATGCTTCTCGCACCTGTCGCGCCTCGACTTGGCTTATGCTAAATGGTGTGATATGGGCTTTATGGTAATGCCATCTGCGCTTGCTGACGGGCTGGAGCAACAATTCTCACTGAAGTAGACGCAAGTCTGCAGTAGCTGATATTTTTGGCCAGAACAACACGTAATGTGAAATGAATATTTCCTACAACATTATTTCAGTATACTTGATCAGTCATCTTTCACATTGCAAGAAGTTCTGTTCTCTACCCAGAGTTGTATCACTACACTGATGTACATTCTGTAAACTTTGATATAATATCCAGGAGGTACAGCAAATCGTAATTCTCTAAGCCTATCTTATTCCATGGCTGGCAGCATGCCATCCATGCCCACCCCGGCATGGACTGGCAGTGCAGTGCACAGGCAGAGAGTAGGGTTGGGCCATGAGCATTGCTTCGCCCAAGGCATGCGGGTGCCCTACTAGGGACTAGCTGTGCCCACCCCCACCTCCATCAAATGACAACAACTGCTGGCCAGACAGTGTTGGCACTTGACGGGGGTGGAAGGGGACACAACCAGTCCGGTTCGGCCCGGAGTTGAGTGCTTAGCCCAATGCTCATGACTTCAACCACTCTCGTGCACTGGCAAAAGCCACCCACAGAGTCTTGACGCCCATGAGGACACCTGCAGACAAAGGAGCACATGAAAGACATATTAGTCCAGGATTTATTTTAAAAAAAAAAAAAAGTAAACAATAAAGGCAGCATGCATCAAAGAAAATCAACAAACAATGGATCAAGGAGGAAGGTACTGCAAAATAAAGCCATGTGCATGAGAAGAGAGGTAGAAGGTTATGGCTGAAACTTATCTGCAGTTGAGGAGTGTAGACTGTGGAGCGGTGCTTGAGCCTTGAAGCGCCTCAGCAGGCCATGGTGCTCCCATGGATCTTGGGCATGCTGGAGTGTGGAGCGGTGCACAAGGCCTGGGGGATCCATGGCGTGCAGATGTCGCTTGGAGAACCTGCCATGAGGCAACATAAAACAAGTCAGTCAATGGCAAGTTGAACTACAGCTTGGATTAAAAAAATAAAAACCCAAGATATCAGAAAGCTTTGAGTAAAAAACAGAAAAAGGTTGGGGCTGGCGCCTTATCTTTCCATGCTTGAACCTTGAACATTTCAGCGGGCCATGGTATTCTCCCATGGAACTTGGGCATGCTGAAATCAGTTGGTGAAGCAACCTGCCAAGTAAAAACAGAAAATCCAAGTTAAACAGCCAAGTCTATATAGAAAAAAACAGCAAACGACTAAAAGGAAGAGGAGTGAGATGGACTTACTGCTGGTGGAGGGAGAGGAGGCACCTGCCCGATGCTGTTGGCAGGTACGTTCACCCCTCCTTGGAGCTTGGCACAAAGCCTTGAATAGAACCTGCAAGGAGGTCAAGGGAACTAGATTAGTAATTAGCAGTGAACTAAGCATGCCGAAAAAAAATGGTATTGGAAATGTGTGCTGCTTACCACAGCAGACCCACAGAGCCAGTACCTTAACCAAAAACCTGAAGGGGACCTTACCAAACCTTGACCTGTACCAGACCTTAACCAGGGGAAGGCTCTGTGGGGGGTTGATACTTTCAACCTTTACAAGTTCTTGAGCTGGTCTTCTCTGCTAACCGCCATG